TATATATATATATAATATATATTTATATTTATATATATATTTTTTTATTTAATATATATCACGTATATACTTAGTTTGTATGTTGTTGCATATATATATATTATTTTATTAATATATAATTTATTATTATATATATATATATTTATATTTATATATATATTTATGATTTTATTTATATATAATATTTATAGATTTATATATTTATATATATACATTCCATTATACTTATATTTTTTATATATATCATATATAATATATATATATATATATTTATATATTATATATATATATACTTAAACATATTAATTTATATTTATACATATATATAATTATATTATATATATATATATATATATATATTTATATATTTATATATATATATATTCATACATACTCACACAACACTAACCACTCACACACACACACATATTTATATATATATATATTTATATATATATATATATATGTTTATTTATTATATATATATTATATATATATATTGTATATTATATATATATAATTATATTCATATATATATATCATTATATATATATATGTACTCCTATATTCCTAGAAATTAATACCACGAGGTTTCGAAATAAAGGTAGCAATTAAAGAAGTATTAAACTACCTTATGACAAAAAAAAATTTTTGGGGGGGGGGGACCTTTTTAGTAGGGCTTCTTACATAGACAAGATTAGCTTTGAAAAAATAATTATAGCATTAATAATAACAATATTGGTATGCAACTAAACACATATATTCGAAACTTGTTTACGGACGATGTTATGCATGAATATATATGTGTATTATAAATTTTGGAAATCTAAATATATAAAATATCCTGTACTTTAGAAAGAATTTATACAGCTACATGTTCATTGTTAGATCGCTGAGATGTAGGAGAAAAGGGAACATATCAGCATGAACATGACAAGCTGCCAGATGAGGCAATTTTCGAGGCCTATCTCTGCTGTCAGTGAGAGTTATGGCTTGCCTAGTGGTGTGGCTGCCAATTATGCAAGAGAGAGAAGCACAAGATGATCTCTTATAGGGGTCATCAGGAGTCAGGCAAACCTGTGGGCAAACATAGACACAGAGGTTAGGATAACGATGGTAAAGCTTAATAATTACAATTACATTTTCACTATCTCATGGAATGCTATAAAAATCATTGAACGTACAAAGAACTAGATATACAGTATGTATGTATACACAGATCAATTAAGAGATAGACTATTGAATACATAGATATATTGATAGATACAAAGAAATATAGAGTGAATATATTGAAAGATATCTATATAAACAAATTCATGTGAATTCATAAATGTATATTATATATATATATATATATATATATATATATATATATATATATATATATATATACATATATATATATATATATATATATATATATATCTATATATATATATATATACATATATATATATATATATATATATATATATATATATATATATATATACATATATATATGTATATATATATATATATATATATATATATATATATATATATATATACACATATATATATATATATATATATATATATATATATATATATAATATATATACATATATGCATATATACAATAATTATGATATGTATATATATATATATATATATATATATATATATATATATATATATATAAATATATATATATATATATATATATATATATATATATAAATATATATATATATATATATATATATATATATATATATATATATAATATTTTTAGTTATGGACTCCACTAAAAAAAAAATGTATCTTTAATCGGGAGTAGAAAAAAAACGAAACCATCGCTAGTTGATTCGGGATTCGGATTGGTACTTGTTTTCAGAGCTCGAAAACAGATGCACCTTCATGATTTGTTCAAACTGTATTTCGGAGTTGATATATATATAATTACTCGAAGCGCTAGGATAGGGTCTATTGTGGATTTGCCAGGAGTGAAACCAGACTGCTTTGGTCGCTGGTGCCTGAGTCGGTGGTCGCAGATCTATTTCAGAAGAATGTGGGCGTAAACCTCGCCTGGTATACTGAGCAGTGTAATGCCACAGTAGTTGCTACAGTCCCAACGATTCCATTTCCTCTTCCAGAGAGGGATGACCACGCCCCTCAACAGGTCAGGGAGAAAGGCATATGGCAGTCAAGACGGAATAAAAGCCCCGTGCCATAGGTTCACCCTAGCATTTAGCAGTTCAGCAGGGATATCAAATATGCCTGCGGCTTTCCCACACTTCAGCCTGGAAATCGCCATCCTAACTTTAGTTAGGGTAAGAAGTTTCTCGCTGATGGATGGGTCCAGCACAGGTACTGTGATACCACTTGCATCCAAGCTAACTGTTGAAGGGTCTACCTGGTACAGCTGCTTAAAATGCTTAGCCCAACGTTCACAAACCCACACATGATCTGAGATGATCTGTCTATCTAGAGCAAACTGCAGTCATCTGCGAGGAGGGCTTAGAGTTCAGTTTTCTCAGGGTTTGGTAGGCAGGGCGAAGGTCATTTACCAAGAAATGGCTTTCAACCTCCTCAGCAAGATTCCTGATGAACTGTTCCTTGTCCTTCCTCAGCAGCTCTCCTTTCCGGACGTTGCCTGTTGCCATAG